GGACTTCATCAAGATGAAAAGGTTTTGGGGGCGGGAAAGAAAGATAAAAAGGTTTTGCACAGCAAAGGAAACAGTCAACAAAACCAAAAAAACAACTGACAGAATGGGAAAAGATATTTGCAAATGACATATCAGATAAAGGGCTAGTATCCAAAATCTATAAAGAACTTAACAGGGCACCTGGGTGGCTCAGTTGGTTAAGCGACTGCCTTTGGCTCAGGTCATGAGCCTGGAGTCCTGGGATTGAGTCCCACATCGGGCTCTTTGCTCAGCAAGGAGTCTGCTTCTCCAGCTGACCTCTCTCCTCTCATGCTTTCTCTTATTCTCTCTCTCAAATAAATAAAACCTTATAAAAAAAGAAAAGAACTTACCAAATGCAATACCCAAAGAACAAATAATCCAATCAAAAAATAGGCAGAAGACAGGAAGAGACATTTCTCCAAAGAAGGTATCTAGGTGGCCAATAGACCCATGAAAAGATGCTCAACATCACTCGGCATCAGCGAAATACAAATCAAAGCCACAGTGAGATGATACCCCCCTCACACTAATGGCTAAAATTAACAAGTCAGGAAAGGACAGATGCTGGCTAGGATGTGGAGAAAGGGGAACCCTCCTACACTGTTGGTGGGAATGCAAGCTGGTGCAGCCACTCTGGAAAACAGTATGGCGGTTCCTCCAAAGTTGAAAATAGAGCTAACCTACGACCCAGAAATCGTGCTACTGGGAATTTACCCCAAAGATACAAATATAGTGATCTGAAGGCTCACCTGCACCCCAATATTTATAGCAGCAATGTCCACAATAGCCAAACTTTGGGAAAACCCCAGATGTCCATCAACAGATGGATGGATCAAGAAGATGTGGTATATATATCCACAATGGAATATTATGCAGCCTTCAAAAAATGAAATCTTGCCATTTGCAATCATGTGGTTAGAAATAGAGGGTATTATGCTAAGCAAAATAAGTCAATCAGAGAAAGACAATTATCATATGATCTCACTGATATGTGGAATTTAAGAAAAAGGGCAGAGGATCATACAGGAAGAGAGGAAAAAACAAAACAAGATGAAACCAGTGAGGGAGACAAACCATAGGACTCTTAATTATAGGAAACAAACTGAGGGTTGCTGGAGGGGTAGGGGTGGAGGGCTGGGATGATGGGGTGATGGACATTGGGGAGGGTACATGTTGTAATGAGCAATGGGTATAAGACTGATGAATCACAGACCTGTACCCTGGAAACAAATAATACATCATATGTTAATTAATTGAATTTACATGTAAAAAACTGCAGTAATCAAAACAGTATGGTACTGGCATAAAAACAGACACATAGATAAATAGAACAGAACAGAAAACCCACAAATAAACCCATAATTATACGGTCAATTAATCTTAGACAAAGGAAGAATGATTATACAATGTGAAAAAGACAATCTCTTCAACAAATGGCATTGGGAAAATCGGACAGCTGCATGCAAAAGAGTGAAACTGGAACACCCTCTTCTACGATACAAAAAGATAAATTAAAAATGGGTTGAAGACCTAAATGTGAGACCTGAAATCATAAAAATCCTTGAAAAGAGCACAGGCAGTAATCTCTCTGACATCAGCTATAGCAACATTTTTTAGATATGTCTCCTGAGGCTAGGGAAACAAAAGCCAAAGTAATAAAAAGCTTCTGCACAGCTGAGGAAATAATCAACAAAATAAAAGGCAGCCTACTGAATGGTAAAAAATATTTGCAAATAACACCAAGAAAGGGTTAGTATCCAAAATATATAAAGAACTGATACAACTCAACACCCACAGACAAATAATCCAATCCAAAAATGCGCAGAAGACATGAACAGACATTTCTCCAAAGGAGATATTCAGGTGGCCAACACACCCAAGAAAAGATGCTCAATGTCTTCATCATGGAAAACCAAATCAAAACTACAATGAGATACCACCTCACACCTGTCAGAATGGCTAACATCAACAACACAAGAAACAACAGGTATTGGCAAAGATATGGAGAAAAAGGAACCTTCTTGCACTATTGGTGGGAATGCATACAGGTGTAGGCACTAAGGAAAAGTATGGAGGTTCTTCAAAACTTTAAAAAGAGAACTACCCTCTGATCTAGTAATTGCACTACTGGATATTTACCCAAACTATGAGAGCACCTGAAGTGTCCATCAATAGATGAATGGATAAAGAAGACGTAGTATACACACACACACACACACACACACACACACACACACGACAGAATTATTCAGCCATAAAAAAGAATGAAATATTTCCATTTGCAAAGACACAGACAGAGCTACAGAATATAATGCTGAGCAGGATAAGTCAGTCATAGAATGGAAGATACCATATGATTTCACTCATATGCAGAATTTAAGGAACAAAACAAACAAGCAAAGGAAAAAGAGAAAGGAAGACAAATGAAACGGGCTCTTAACTAAAGAGAATAAATGGATGGTTAATGGATGGAAGGTGAACGGGGTAATGGGGAAGTAGGGGATGGGTATTAAAGAGCAAACTTATCAGGGCGCCTGGGTGGCTCAGTGGTTTAAGCCTCTGCCTTCAGCTCAGGTCATGGTCTCGGGGTCCTGGGATCATGCCCCACATCGGGCTCTCTGCTCAGCGGGAAGCCTGCTTTCCCCTCTCTCTATGCCTGCCTCTCTGCTTACTTGTGATCTCTGTCTGTTAAATAAATAAATAAAATCTTTTAAAAAAGAAATAAATAAAGAGCAAACTTATCATGATGAAAAAATATAAAATGATTTTTAAAAAAAGAATAAAAAGCTAGAGGGAAAAAAAAACTGCTTCTCATGGTGTTCTCAAGTATAAAGTATTTTAGAGCAGTTAAAATATTCTAGGATAATAGATAAACAATAACTTTTTCCCTTAAGGTATTAAAATTGTATGCATGGCCGCTTAATAAAAGCAATATAGCTATAATTAAGTCACTAAGCTCTAAGCATTTTATAACTCTCATTAGTAAAAGAACACACTGAGTCTTAAGGATCATAAAACATTTTTCCATTAAAAAAAAAAGCTATGATCCTAAAAAAAACAAAACACAACTTATAGTAGAAAAATTGAATTTTTATTTTGAGACCCTAAAATAATCTAGTATCTTTAATATCCAAATCCTTCATAACGCTGATTCTAAAAAATGATGGTGAGGGATGTGGGGGATATTGGGCACTTATGGACCTTCCATTTAGTCTTTGCAATCAGGGCCTCCTCAAACCACACAGCCAGCCTCCAACTCTCCCATCCAATCCCTACATGTAATGAGAAATGTTTCTGAAAGTCACATATTCCATATTTGAAGAGCATGAAAGTACAAAATACATTGAGAGTCATTACACATATACAGAACACTAGCAATAATGTTAGATAATAATACATATATATGTATAATACTCAAAAGTTTGTCTTTAGTGGAAAAATACCAATACAGTAAGCAACCTCAACAGAGGACCCAGCTTTCAATCCCAGCTGTCACTAGCCCTCTAACTGAATAAGCCCTTCACTGATCGCGCCATAGCTGGAGCTCCACAGTTATAAACAAAGAGAAATGATTCTCACGTTTCCTTCCAGCTCTACAGGAAATCTTAAGCAGGAGAAATTATAGCCTAAAATATTTAGTATTTAAAATAGAAATCCAGGGGTGACAGGGTGGCTCATTCGGTTAAACATCTGCCTTCAGCTCAGGTCATGATCCTAGGGTCCTGGGATGGAGCTCCACGTTGGGCTCCCTGCTCAGCAGGGAGTCTGCTTCTCCCTCTGCCCCTCACCCGACCTGTGCTTCTCTCTCTCTCAAATAAATAAAATCTTTAAAAATAAAATACAATAGAAATCTGTATTTACACGTGAGGTGATGGATGTGTTAACTAGATTGGAGGAATCCTTTGACAACATATACATTCATCAAATCATGATGATGTACACTTTAAATATCGTAAAATTTTATTTACCAATTGTACCTCAAATAAAGTGGAAAAAGCAAAATAAAAATTTGACTTAAAAATGGGGGAAAAAACCCTTAAACCACATAATAAATTCTTCCTATTGCCTTGAAGTTCTGGTCGCTGGGCTCTTGATATTACACGTGGACTATGTTAAAAGATCAAAATCTGGTCATGTTAACTCATTTCTTTCTACTTTACACAGGATTGCCAGAGGCAGGGAGTGGGGGGAAATGGGTGAAGGTAGTCAAAACATAAAAACTTCCAGTTATAAGATAAGTAAGTTCTGAGGATGTAATGTACAGCATGGTGACTGTAGTTACTAATACTGTATTGTGTACTTGAAAGCTGCTAAAAGATTAGATCTTAAAAGTTCTTGGGCACCCGGGTGGCTCAGTCAGTTAAGCGTCTGCCTTCTGCTCAGGTAATGATCCTAGGGTCCAGGGATCGGGCCCCTGCATTGAGCTCCCTGCTTGGTGGGAACCCTGTTTCTCCCTCTGCCCTTCACCCTGCTTGTGCTCTCTCTAGCTCTCTCTCACCGAAATAAATAATAAATAAATCTTTTAAAAAAGTTCTTATCACAAGAAAAAATTTATAACTGTGATGTGACTGGTATTAACTAAACCTACTGTGGTAATCATTTTGTAATACTACATATACCAAATCATTATATGTGTACCTTGGACTAATATAAAGTTGTATGTCAATTGTATCTCAATAAAAATGGGGGGAAAATGGCAAAGGGCTGAACACCAAACACTGTATTAAACTTGTTTCCTTAATCAAATATAATCATAAATCGAACTGTTGAATGAAACTTCAACATTTAAAAATAAATCTTTCAAAGATGATGATCTTATACTTGATTCAAAGATTATACAGGATATATACAGGATATAATATAGGATTATACATTATTTCATTCAATTAATATACTGAGCACCTTCTATGTTTCAGATAGTCATATTTTAGCTTCATTCCAGCATCTCAAACAAAAGTCAAAGAGTACGAGAATCTTACCAACATGGCCTCCTCCAATGGTGTAGGTCTTCCCGGATCCAGTTTGTCCATAGGCAAAAACAGTTGCATTATAGCCCTCAATGAGAGACAACACTAGTGGCTTTATACATGTATTATAAACTTCATCTTGAGTGGAATTTTTGCCAAAAACAAAATCAAAAGTAAAGACTCTATCTCTCCCAATGATAATTTGCTGGGTGTTTGGAATAACTCTCACACAAGCTTGATGATTATGAAGAACTTCTTTGCACAGCAGAGGTCGGATTCTTACAGCAACTTTTACTGGTATTTCTTCCATAGCAGCTTAGATTTTACTAAATAACTTTCTACTTAATATTCAGTATCTATTGTGAGAATTATCCATTTTATGTAAGATCTGGACTCCTGTGTATCAAAATAAAAACAAAATTCAATTATGGACTATCCTAATAAAACTAACCATCTTCCAAAACAAAGTCAATTAAAGCACGTTTTATTCCAACATGAGGTAATTAAAACAAGTAAATATGTCTTACAAAAATATACCTATAATTCACAGATGAAATGATATGAAATGTCTGGATTTGCTGCAAAACAGTCTAAAGGGTAAGGTCCATGAGTTGGTAAATGATGAAGTATGGGATTCCATCATACCATTCTTTCTGTAGCAGTAATATGTTTCCCAGTTCACTAATCTAAATATTGAATAACCGGGGACTTAAAAAATTAAGGCAAGGAAATTATTGAGTAACTATACACTTGCGCTGAAAGCAAACCCTTTATTAGATTTTATAGCTATATCTCTTTGCCACAAATATTAGAAATAAATCCAGACAAATAGTTTTAAGGGTTTCTATAACTTTAAATAATTTCTTTTCAAAAATAATCAAAACTAACCGAAAAACGGCTTTTCCACTCCTACTTATGTTGTACTTGTTTCTGAAAATCGCTGGTAGAATTAATACATTAAAAATTAAACTGGTGTCAGGGCGCCTGAGTGGCTCAGTCGTTGAGCGTCTGCCTTCAGTTCAGATCATGATCCCAGTGTTCTAGGACTGAGTCCCATATGGGCTCCCTGCTCAGCGGGGAGTCTGCTTCTCCTTCTCCAGCTCCCCAGTGTTTGTGTTCCCTCTCTCACTATCTCTCTCTGTCATAAATAAATAAAATCTTTTAAAAAATTAAATTGGTGTCTATACTTACAATGAACCTGAAAAATGAATTAAGAAAACAATTCCATTATAGTAGCATCAGAAAGGATAAAATACTTAGAAATTAAATAAAAGACATATAAAACATACTCTGAAGACTATAAAATATTGTTAAAGAAAGTAAAGATCTAAATACATGGAGAAACAGCTCATGTTTGTGGGTTGAAAGACTTAACACTGTTAAGATTACAATATTCCATGGGGCACCTGGGTGGCTCAGTGGGTTGAGCCTCTGCCTTTGGCTCAGGTCATGATCTCAGGGTCCTGGGATGGAGCCCCGCATTAGGCTCTCTGATCAGTGGGGAGTCTGTTTCCCTCTCTCTCTGCCTGTCTCTCTGCCTACTCGTGATCTCTGTCTGTCAAATAAATAAAATCTTTTTTACAAATCATTTTAAAAATCACAATATTCCCCAAATTTATTTACAGATTCAGTGCAACCCCTATCAAAATCCCAGCTGAATTCTTTGCAGAAATTGACAAGCTGATCCTAAAATTCTTTTTTTTTAAAAGATTTTATTTATTGATTGATCCTAAAATTCGTACGGAAATTCCAGGGACACAGAATAACTAAAATAATGTTGAAAAAGAACAAAGTCAGAGGACACACTTCCTCAATTCTAAAACTAAACAACAGAAATCAAGACAGTGTGGTACTGGTATAAGACAAACTTAAAGATCAGTGGAAAAGAACTGAGGATCCAGAAATAAATCCTCATAATTTTTAAAAGATTTTATTTATTTGTCAGAGACAGAGAGAGAAGGAGAGATTACAAGCAGGGGGAGTGGCAGCCAGAGGGAGATGCAGGTTCCCTGTCAAGCAAGAAGCCTGATGCAGGACTGTGACCTGAGCCGAAAGCAGATGCTTAACCAACTGAACCACCCAGGTGTCCCAATAAATCCTTATATTTATGGGCAAATGATTCTTGACAAGAGTGCCAAGACAATTCAATGGGGAAAGAACAGACTTTTCAACAAATGTTGACACAACTGGATATCCACATGCATAAGAATGAAATTGGACTCCTGCTTCAAATAATATACAAAAGTTGATTCAAAATCGTTCACCTGAACCATAAGAGCTAACCATAAGAGCTAAAACTCCTAATATTCTTAGATGAAAATATAGGGGTAACTCTTGATAATCTTGGGTTTGGCAATGGTTTCTCAGGTAAAACTCCAAAAGCAAAAGCAATAAGCTTTACAAGTGTGAACAGATGAAATGGATTTAATCAAATTTAAAACTTTTGTTCCTCAAAGATATGAAAAATGGCTAATAAGCACATGCAAAGACTCAACATCATCAGCCAGCAGGGAAATACAATCAAACCTACAATGAGGTATTACTTTGCACCTGTCAGAATGGCTAGAATCAAAAAGACAAGAAATAGCAAAGAAGACATCCAGATGGCCAAGAGACATATGAAAAAGTGCTCCACATCACTCAGCATCAGGGAAATACAAATCAAAACCACAGTGAGATACCACCTCACACTAGTCAGAATGGCTAAAATTAACAAGTCAGGAAAAGACAGATGCTGGTGAGGATATGAAGAAAGGGGAACCCTCCTACACTGTTGGTGGGAATGAAAGCTGGTGCAACCACTCTGGAAAACAGCATGGAGATTCCTCAAAAAGGTGAAAATAGAGCTATCCTATGACCCAGCAATTGCACTACTGGGTATTTACCCTAAAGATACAAACATAGTGATCCTAAGGAGCACATGCACCCGAATGTTTATAGCAGCAATGTGCACAATAGCCAAACTATGGAAAGAACCTAGATGTCCATCAACAGATGAATGGATAAAGAAGATGTGGTATATATACACAATGGAATACTATGCAGCCATCAAAAGAAAGGAAATCTTGTCATTTGCGATGACGTGGATGAACTAGAGGGTATTATGCTTAGCAAAATAAGTCAATTCAGGAGAAAGACAACTATCATATGACCTCCCTGATATGAGGAAATGGAGTTGCAATGTGGGGGATTTGGGGGGTAGGAAAAGAATAAATGATACAAGATGGGATCGGGAGGGAGACAAACCATAAGAGACTCTTAATCTCACAAAACAAACTGAGGGTTGCCAAGCGGAGGGGGTACAGAGAGGATGGTGGGGCTATGGACATTGGGAGGGTATGTGCTATGGTGAGTGCTGGGAAGTGTGTAAACTTGGCGATTCACAGACCTGTACCCCTGGGGCTAATAATACATTATATGTTTATAAATTTTTTTTAATTATTAAAAAAAAAGACAAGAAATAACAAGTGTTAGCAAGAATGTGGAGAAAAAGGAACCCTCAACCATGATCGGTGGGAATGTGAACTAGTGCAGCTACTCTGGAAAACAGTATGGAGCTTCCTTAAAACATTAAAAATAGAACTAACCTATGATCCTCTAATTGTACTTCTGGGTATTTTACCAACGAATGCAAAAACACTAATTCAAAAAGATGTATGTACCATTATGTTTACTATCATTATTTACAAGAGCCTAGATATGGAGGCAACCCAAGCATCCATCAATAAGTGAATGGATAAAGAAGATGTGGTGTATATATATGCAATGGAATATTACTCAGCCATAAAAGTGAACGAAATCTTGCCATTTGCAAAACATGGATGGACCTAGAGGGTCTTATGGTAAGTGAAACAAAGTCAGATAGAGAAAGACAAATACCATATAATTTTTTCCTTTCTGTTTAATGTTTATTTATTTATGTATTTATTTTTAAGTAATCTCTGCACCCAATGTGGGGCTCAAATCTCACGTATGAGATTAAGGATTATATACTCAATGGACTGAGCCAGCCAGGTGTGCCCCATATAACTTACCTTATATGTGGAATCTACAAAACAAAACAAACTAATAAAAAGCAGAATCAGACCCATAAATACAGAGAACAAACTGATGGTGGCCAGACGGTAGCAGGTTGGAGAGATGGGCAAAATGGGTGAAGGGGCGTGGGAGTACAGCCTTCCAGTTATGAAATGAATGAGTCAAGGGATAAAAATTATAGCATAGGGTCAATGGGATTGTAATAGCACTGAATGGTGACAGATGATAGCTGCACTTGTGGTGACACTTGTCTGTACACCAGAAACTAACATAACAGTGTTATGTCAAATGCACTTCAATTTTTAAAAAGATGGATATTAAAGTATCAAAAATTTTTTAAACAGACAGATCTAAACACATGTTGGTGAGGGGTACCTGGGTGGCTCAGCTGCTTGGGCATCTGCCTTCAGCTTAGGTCATGATCCTGGAGTCCCAGGATCCAGTCCCTCATAGGCCTTCCTGCTCAGCAGGGAGCCTGCTTCTCCCTCTCCCTCTGTTCCTCCCTCATGCTTGTGCTCTCCCTTTCCCACACTCTTTCAAATAAATAAATAAATAATTTTTTAAAAGATTTATCTGACAGAGAGAGAGAGAGCACAAACAGAGGAAATGGCAGGCAGAGGGAGAGGAAGAAGCAGGCTCCTGTTGAGCAGAGCCTAATGTGGGATTTGATCCCAGGACCCTGGAACCATGACCTGAGCTAAAGGCAGAGACTTAACCCTCTGAGCCACCCAGGCACCACAAAAAATAAAATTTTTTTTTAAAATGACAAAAACAAGTGTCAGTGAAAACATAGAGAATATGGAAGGAACCTTCACATACTTCAGAGGGAAACATAAAATGATGCACTCAACTTTGGAAAAGAGTCTGGCAGTTCCTCAGAAAATTAAAACATAATTGTCATTTGACCCAGCAACGCCACTCCTTAGGTATATACCCAAGAGAAATACAAACATAAAGTTTTCATAAAAACTTTTACATGAATGTTCAGGTTTGGTAGGATGAAGCTTACACCATATAAAAGCTAAAGAGAGGGACACCTGGGTGGCTCAGTCGGTTAAGCATCTGCCTTCAGCTCAGGTCATATTCCTAGGGGCCTGGGATGGAGTCCTGAGTTGGGTTCCCTGCTCAGGGGGGACTCTGCTTCTCCCTCTGCTTCTACCACTCCCTCTGCTTGTGCTCTCTCTCCCTGACAAATAAATCATAAAGTCTTAAAATTTAAAAAAAAAAAAAAGCTAAAAAGAAAATGTAACAAATAGTCTTGATAATGTTTAAGTGAAGATAATAAAAAATAATCAGTTTCAGGTGTCCCTGGACTCTTTGGAGAAGTGGAGTCTTGCACAGTCTCATTAAGTAACCTAGTAGACTAGTAGTAGTAGACTATTAACTAGTAGCAGACTATTAACCTAGTAGACTATTAATAGACTAAAATAACATCTTCAGCTCTACTTGCTATGGAAATGTTAATAAAGACATATTTAATATTCACTAGCCTTTAAAAAACTCTGCAGCAGTACTGTGCATTATAATTCTGTGAGTGGATAGTCTGAAAAGGATCACAATAACAAATACATCACTCTACTAAGAGCCCACTGAGAGTAAAAAAATATCAGCTCCCTTGGGCTGCAAAATCCCAAAACAGAGTCAACATGCTGCATTTAATGGCCACAATAAAAAGATGTACCTACCTTGGCAGTTTTAACCATTCTAGTTAAAATCAGCTGTGAAAAAATATTCATATGTACAATATATATTTTCTGGGATCCTAAAGGAGTCCATGATTACTTGGTACTGGAAAACTGTCCAAATAAACTACAAGGATGCTGTATGAGTTGTTTCTTCCAAATGTCTCTAAATATCTACATTTGAAGTTTTTATTATATAGATTTTTTTTTAATTTATACCATCACATTAAAACAGAAGTCATGGTCTATGTTAAGCCAAACCTAACTATTTCCAACAAAACTGCTAATAAAAGGTGCAGTGTAATTGGGATATTTTCACTTTCTAGGTTTTCACAATGGGAAAGTTTTGCTACAAGTACAAAAGAAATTCTATCTCTTTATTTTAATAAATAAGGGCCCTAAATCTATGGCTTGCCAAAGATTAATATCCAAGAATTTAAGTATTAAAAAATTCACAGCACTTAAAGTTTAGATTCTGATCAATTGCAGTCATCAGAACCATATGTATGATGTCGCCAATAAATGTAATGAAAGGTGAAATCTGATTGGCTAGTGATATTTAGGCATACTCCATGGAGTTTTGAAATCAGAGAAAGGCAAGAGAATCTTTGATCACTGACGCCATGTCACTGATCAAAAAGAAGTGTCTCCAAATACTGTTGCCATCCAGTGCCCGTGGTTTTCCAGAAGTAGTGGTTGTCTAAATATTTTGGTTTGCTAATATTTCCGTAAGAAACATCCCAGCAAATGAACAATGAATCCCAAGTATCTCAGAAAAGGCCCCATATGCATAATAACTAGAGAACAGAGAAAGTAAAGTAGAAAAACAAAGATCTGCAAACTTGGAGGGAGCGAGGGTGTTATTTAAAAGGTGTTTCAAATAAAGAACTTGGGCACTGTTCTTTCTCAACGAAACCTGCCTCTGAGGGAGGAGGCTTTGAGACTCCTACAGCGCTGGGGTTGCACCAAAGTTTCAACATCCGCACGGAAAACGAGGCCGGCGACAAAACGAAACCCCCATGAGGGTGGGCCTTCCCATCCCCTTCGGCTCCTGCAGCTGGAAGCACCAGCGCCAGAAACAGGATCTGACTTAGTGGGGTTCCGTCTGGCGTTCCCGCGCGTCCCTAATTCCCGGGACCTTCTACCTCCAGGGGGACCCCACTTCCCCCCGGCCGTTCGGCGGAGTTCCCAGCACCGACCCCAGCCCCCTCCGGCGCCGTCCTCGGCTTTGCAGGCGCCCCAACCGCCCTCCACACCCACGAGCCATCTCGCACCCCTAGGAGGCGCCCCCTCCCCTCAACAGCGAGCCAGAGAGCGGGCGCCACACCGCACCCGGCCCCGCCAGGCCGGCCCTCCACTCACTGACCAGCTCGAGAAAGCCCCGGTCTCCGGCGGCGAGCACAGCGCAGGACTACCCAGCTTCGCTCCTCCCGGCCGTCGCCGCCGCCGCCGCCGCCGCTCCGGCCTTTTGTTGTCGCGGGTTCTCCGGGCAACCGGCGAAGCCAGTCCCGGACGCGCCCCCTCCTGGCCGGGCGCTCCGCCGCGCCCCAGACCCCGCCCCTGACGAGGCCCGTCCCGGCAAGCCCCGCCCCACAAGCCCCGCCCCATGGAGGGAGGCCCGCTCTCTGCGTGGCTGCAGAGCCAGCTCTCCCGGACCTCTCAGAGGGCTGAACCAGAGTAACTAACCGGTTTGCAAAATGAATGTGAGAAAGACTCACGTTGTTTCAGTATTTTAGCTGCCAATTCCATTTCTTTATATTGAAGTAAAGTTCGTATAACATACATCAAACCGTTTTAAGGTGTATATTAGGCATTCACAAAGTTGCGCAACCATCACCTCTTCTTCCAAAATATGTTGCCCACCCCGAAAGGAAATCCCCCTGTCGATGAGCAGTCACTCCCCTTCCCCTCTTCCACAGTCCCTGGCAACCACCTGTCTGCTTTCTCTGTATCGATTTACCTATTTGGGGCATTTTGGATTCACCCAATCATACTGTTTGTGACCTTTTGTGTCTGGCTTCTTTTGCGAAACGGGTTTTCCTCGTCCATCCACGTTGTAGCATGTATCAGTAACTGTATTCCTTTTTATGCTGAATAATATCCCCTTGTGTGGGCATACCATGTGTTATTTATGAATTCATCATTTGATGGACATGGAGGCCGTTTCCACTTTTTGGCTAATGTGAATAATGCTGTTAGGAATTTTCATGTACGAGTATTTGTTTAGTATCTGTTTTCAGTTCTTTTGCTACAGATTTAGGAATGGGATTGTCAGGTCATATAGTAATTCTGTGTTTAACTTTTCCAATTTAGTTTTAAATGCCTTAATGCCTTCCATTTTTAATAGTACAATCCAAGCATTTTCTTCCAAGAGATTTTTCTTTTTTCCTTAAAAAAAAAAAGATTTTATTTATTTATTTGACGGAGAGAGAGATCACAAGTAGGCAGAGCAGCAGGCAGAGAGCGAGAGGGAAGCCCGCTTCCTGCTGAGCAGAGAGCCCAATGCGGGGCTGGATTCCAGGACCCTGAGTTCATGTCGAAGAGCGAAGGCAGAGGCTTAACCCTCTGAGCCACCCAGGCACCCCTCTTTTTTTTTTTTTTTAAAGTAACTTTCAAAAAGCATCTCTTCTCTCATGAAACTTAGAAATGAAGATGGGGGAAAAAACTCCTTAGTTATTAAACTGAATTACAAGTATCACCTGCTTTTGAAAGTTCACACTCCGCCTCTTGGCTGAAAGACCTACATTACTTTTTCCTAACTGGAAAAAATCCAAAGAGGATTTTCACATCTATGATAAAAGGTGAAAGCCCAAATAAGGTTCAGTGTTTGTTTTGCCTCCAACCCTTACAGAGGCAGTGGGCACCCAAGGGGGAGGAGAGTGGCCCCACCAACCCCCTTCAGGGAACTAGACTCAGCTCTTGGGCATCAAACCCCCATAGTTTTGAATGTGCCTGTGAGTATCTTGATTTATTTTGTGGATAAATAGATACATGAATAAAGAATCACATGCTGGGGGTGCCTAAGTGGCTCAGTTGGTTAAGCAACTGACTTTGTCTCAGGTCGTAATAATCTCAGGGTCCTGGAATGGAGCTCACATGGTGCTCCATGCTCAGCACGGAGTCGGCTTTTCCCTCTCCCCCCACCCCTCCCCTCTGTCACTCATTCTCTCTCTCAAATAAATAAAATCTTAAAAAAAAAAAAAAGAATCATGTGTAAGAATGTTTATTATACTATTTGTAATAGCAAAAACTTGGAAATGACATAAAAGTTCAATGGAAGGGATTGATAAATTAATGTTATATTTATAAAATAATATTATCCACTCACTGAAACTCATGTTTACAAAAAGTTGGTATAGGAAAATGCTTACAAATAAGGATACAAAATAACATCAAGTTTTTTCACCTGAAAAATTGGAATAAAACTCATCCCTACTTCATAGGGTTGTTGTGAGGTTTGAAAGTAGGAATAATTATTCAAAAATTGTTAGGTAGTTAGAACAACAACAGTTTTTTCAATTTTGTTCAGGGGAGAAATTCACAGAAAAACACAAGATATTAAAAATATTCAACAAAATTCACCAAAATGATAACCATCAGCAATACTGGGTTAAAGGTCATTTTTATGGTTGAATCAATGGTCTTGGTTCCATGGAACAGAAACCAACTCTGGGTTACTTAAGAAAAAACTTGGTTGAAAAGTTTACCATTAGGGGTGCCTGGGGGGCTCAGTGGATTAAAGCCTCTGCCTTTGGCTCAGGTCATGATCCCAGGGTCTTGGGATGGAGCCTCGCATCAGGCTCTCTGCTCAGCAGGGAGCCTGCTTCCCCCTCTCTCTGCCTGCCTCTCTGCCTGTGATCTCTGTCTGTCAAATAAATAAATAAAATCTTAAAAAAAATACACATTACATGAAATTTTCCATCTTAACCATTTAAGTGTACAGTTCAGTAGTGTTGAGTATATTCGTGTAGTTGTGCAACCAATCTCCAGAACTCTATTCCCATTAAACAACTCAAGGTTCTCAAGATTCATCCATGTTGTAGCAAGTGTCAGAACATGCTTCCTTTCTAAGGCTGAGTAATATTCTAGTGTATGCATAGACCACATTTTGTTTGTCTACCCATCTCCCCTTGGACACTTAGGTTGTTTCCAACTTTTGCCTATTGTGAGTAATGTTGCTATAAACAAGAGTGTGTACATATTTCTTCAAGATCCCTCTTTCAAGTTTTTTGGATATATACTCAAAGTGTCATTGTTGCCTCATTTAGTAATCTTATTTTTAATTTTTTGTTGAACTGCCATACTGTTTCCAGAGTGGCTGTGCCAATTTACATTCTGACAAACAGTGAACAAGGGTTCCCTTTGCTACACATCTTTGCCAATTCCCACCTTTAAAAAACAAACAAACAAACAAACGGATCTATTGAAGAAACAGTTCCTATTTGTCCTTTAGAACAAATATTCTTGTGGTTTTCTACATAATGCATCGCTCTCCCTTGCTCACTCTCAAAGAGTTTATCTGCTCAAATCAGGATCCAAACATGGTATCTTTGTGTTTTCACTTCATTTTACCTTGTTCCTGTATTTCCTACATTTCCTGAAAACTAGTATTTAGATCTAGATTCCTGATTAGATCCAGGGTCAATTTTTCTGGCAAGAATAATTCATACACAGGACTGTGTACTTCCTATTGCAACACACCAGGAGGAACATAGTGTCTGCATATCCCACTTTTAGTGTTGTTTAAATTACGAGTTTAAATGCCTCTAGCCTGATCCATCTCTTTAAAAAAAGTTTCCCATTAACATTTTACCTAATGGATTTAACAGACATTGATGATCATTTTCTGGATCTAGTATTTTATTAGGGCTTCCAAAATGGTAATGTTCTAATTCTAATATTCTTTTTTGCATTTATTAGCTGGAATTATTTTATAAAGAAGAGCTTTCCTTCTAACAGGTTATCCTGAAAATAGTATGGCCGTTAGGAATGACAGGATACATACTTGATTTTTTTACCTTTACCTTTCATTAATTAATCTTGAGAACAATGAAATGCTGTTCTCAAGTCAACCAACAGGGTTTCTTTTTTGGAGTGGGGGCAGGGTGATTATGAACTCATAGGTTTTCATATTTTGTATTTGCTGTCCAAAGACCATTTTCACCACTCCTCAAGGTATTTCTAGACTTCTTATTAAACACCATTGGGAGCTATTGTTTCTTTTCATTTTAACTAAGGCTTTGTCGAAGTTATTGAGCCTTAACAATTGAATTTCATTTCCCGCAACCAAAGAATACTAATTAATTCATCTGCCAACCAATCCTCAATCTGTCCTGAGAATATTAAAATCAGAATAGCGAAGGAAGGGTGTTAATAGGCTTTCCCCACCTCCAGACCGGAAATTGGACTAGTTCTTTCCTTGGATCCATTCAGAATGCAGCCCTACCCTTTCCCTAACTCTTCCTCAGCAGTTCCCAACTTGAAATGATCCTCATCTGCCAAAGAATTCTGAACAAACAACAGTGTAGAAAACAAGGTTTTGGAGCTGCCTCCCCTTCCTCTTCCTTCCTATAAGCAGACCTCCTCTCTTATTTCTTCAAGAACTGCCCCTGTTCCACCCGGTAAGCCAGCCAATCAACTGGCCTTTGCCCCAGGCCTCAGCAACCTGGACTCAAGCCAAGCTCCTCAGCCATGCCCTGGATTTTTGCTTGTGCTATTGGCGAAGATTTGCACTCTGTGATCCAGAATCACTAGCTATTAGAGTGATCTCTTACAACAGAGCAAAAAGAAATACAAGATGTGGTCTTTGTGCATTTTAATTCCTGGACCATAACTGGGCATGGCGAAGGCCAGCTCTTTCCCTGGACTTACCTGGGTTTTTGTTTTTGTTTTTCTTCAATCATTACATTTCCTTTTTCACTAAGCTAGTTTCAGTCTAGTTTCTTTCACTTGAAACTAAAATATACTAAACCCAGTGGGATAAATCAAACCGGAAAGGAAAAGAAAAAGAAGGTATGTAGTTTATAGGAAAAACAGAAACAGATGAATGCCACAATAATGTGTTTCTTCAGACTCCCAGTGGCTTGAGTCAGTGAATTTTATACGTGAAAGGAATCTTGCAAATGATTTAGTCCCACCATGCATGTATTAATTTTTTATTTTATATTTAATATCCTTGAGTTAGACAAAAGTTATTTTGGCACATTACTTATTCATACCTGTATTAGGATTCTCCAGAGAAACAGAACCAATAGAATATACCGAGATAAAGACAGGCATAGATATATAATCTGTATCATTTATCCATCCATCAATTCATCTAAAGAGAGAAAAAGTGAGATTTATTTTAAGGAATTGGCTGGGAGCTGGCAAGTCCAAAATCTGGTGGGCAAGCTAGCAAACTGGATATTCAATTAAGAATTGATGTTATAGGGGCCCCTGGGTGGCTCAGTGGG